AATGTAAAACAGCAGCATGGGGGCCAGTGAGAACTCTCCAGTCATCTTTACGTTTGATCTCTGCGTGACCTCTAAAGATTATAAAAATTGAAATCTGATTTACGTCTGTCGTATTATCAGCTGTTTCGTATAGGTATGAGTTTTTGTCCCTCGTCACGTAGACTGATGACTCAAGAGAATATTTTGAAGTTGGAAGAGATGAAATAACAAAACACTGGAGACGCATTTCACGATGAAGAGTTTCATAATTTGTAATCTACGTAAAGTACGATTAGGGTGACAAAATCTAGGCGGGTGAGATGGGCGGATTATGTATCACGCTACCCGAATAGTGGACGAAAATTCTAAAGAGAAGATACCTCTTATAGAGACTAGGAGTAAAAGGGATGATAATATTAAAACGGATCTAAAATATGCTGGAATAGTTTAGGATAGGATCTGACTGGCTCTTGTGGATACGGTAATGAATCTTCAGGTTTCGTCAGGGACGGAGAAGATCATAACTCCCTGTGCGACTGTCAGCTTCTTAAAAGGACCCTGGTCCATGGATTTAGTGAAGAAAGGCATCGTAAATTATTCTCTAGAGCTTCCTGTTGTTTTAATGTCCTATTAATAACTTGGCATTAGATGCGTTTCCGTAGAACCACACACACACACAGTGGGTTGATATTGCTCCCAGAACATTCTTCTGCTTAACTTACGCACCCTTTTTTGAAACTCCTCCACGAGACAGCAGGCAGCCTTGGTATTTTTGTTTGTATGACGTCACGTTACGCACATGTTTGTTTGAAATTAGTGTGTCTGTTAGTTTGGATGTATAGGTAAGAGTTAAACTTATCCTTGGGTTGTTAGTATGTGGACTTTATTATCGTACCCTTTAAATAGGGAGAGTTGGTACGTAAACTTTTCTCCCCTGGCAGCCAGATGGAAGGAAGGTAAAAATAATTTCCGTCTATTCCAATAAATTATATATTTTCTTTCTTTAAACATGTTCGTGTATGGTACTGTAGGCGCCGTTTCTCATAAGCTTAATGGATTTACGTAGAACCAAAAGTTCTTCGGTTTGTTAGTGTTGTTGATACTTTCTCGTCTGTTCCTAGTCCATAAGGACTATCCTCTGTTATCGTGTTCACACTGAAGATGGTGGCAGTATGTCCTTCTGAAACGTTGGTGTAGAACAGAAAGGCCACAAGGCACAAAGGCGTAGAAGACAGTCATTTTCATAATATAATATAATGTCAATGTAATGACAGTCAGTGACACCCAATCTCCCGGAAATATTGTATAATTAAATAAACTTCAGACAGTGGCTGACTTAATATTCGTATTCCGAAGCAACCTTTTTCAAAAAGATTTAAGGAATCAATAATGCAATTACTTAAATGCGAATTAATTGTATTAAATTGCATTGCCAACATAATTTGTTCTGTCACCTTTAAAACAGAGAATAGGGGTCCGTGGCCTTTTGGAAGTGGAGCCGGGGGTGGGGGGACGTTATCAGTAGCCAGTTGTGAGTGTGAATATTACTACTACGGGAACAAGTTTCCATCGGAGTAAGCTAAATTTACCTTTTTGTTTTTTTTGTTTTTGGGACGCCGAGGTCGGACGGTTGTTCGACCGCTGCCACGCGGAGTCTGCGCGTCGCGAAGTGCGTTCTGTTGTCGCGCGGGCTAGCCGTCGCGGCGTGCGGTAAACGCAGTCAGAGCATAGTCGCTGTTCAGATGTTCCGTTCCCCGGAGATTCCTGTTTCACTGTGCGATGTGAATCGCGGATGAATTGTGTGCAGTTCGGCGGAAGTCGGCCTCGACACGTGTTCTTTGCACAGCTGTTTTTTTTTGTCCTTGATTAGTGTGTAGTAATTTATGTCAGGGTGTGTACAACAAAGTGATTAATTAATAGTTAATAGCCACCGAATATGAGGTTGGATGTACATGCTACGTTCTTGAACCATGCAGCTTCGTCGTTCTGAGTTTTGCCACGGAGAGGCAGAGGACATTCCTCGTGGTTCCTTGCGCCGGTCATCACCTGTACGTCTCGTTCATATGTGGACAGTTCAGACTTTTATCTCGCTGTCCACTTTGTCGTGTCGCTGCTGTTTTAAATAAAAATGTGGAAAACGTCTAAGGTCTTCACTTGCGTGTGTGTTCGTTCACGTGTTGGCCAAGTGTTTTGCGCTGTCGAAATCAACGATAAATGAATTTAGGTTAATTTGCGCTTGAAAAGTGTCGCTTAAGTTGTGTTATTTTCCCCCTGGAAGCTCCTGGATGATGTGACAAACGACTGTGTTTATTTCGTCGTCTTTGTATTATCAACTTGAAATCGTTGTCATCGTTACAGAAGCCGTATGCTAGGATAGATCTGTATTCCTGGGGCATAGAAGGCATGTTAATTGCGAGATTTATGGGGGAAAAAACACTACCTACACCGCGTTGTTGTTCTTGTGGTCATATCTGCAAGTGACAGTATATTAATTTACAATGATTATTGGGTTTTTTGGGCAGAAATAAGTGTCTATGAGTTAAGTATCACTACTGTAGGTGTCTTAACATCCGCTTGACGTTGAAATGTTCAGATTTCTTACGTTTCGTCTATGAGTTAAGTATCACTACTGTAGGTGTCTTAACATCCGCTTGACGTTGAAATGTTCAGATTTCTTACGTTTCATTTGTCTCAGATTTGTATTTCAAGTTCCCTGGTGTATTTTAAGTCAATAGGTAATTAATTCGTTGTCTACATTCAGCACTGTGTTAAAGGCATTTGTAATTCCGTGTTTTCGGTAAGGTTTTGTGAAATATTTATGTCGAACCTAAAGGAACTATACTTGCAGGAGGAAAAGAATCGAACGTTTTGGGGTTGTCTGATTTAACAAATTTATGAACGCTTGGTTGCCATATTGAAACATGCGTACTTCATTTTACAGTAGTTAGCTAAACATTCATTCTATATTCATTTATAGAGGACGCCTTCCAACGTTTGGACAGGTTACATTTAATGATTAATTGAAAACTGTAAACACACGGTCGATTTTGTGTTCACGTGTCTTTAGTATGGGTGGAAATTGAACTATTTTCCACGCTGTGTACTTTCACTATGATATAACTGGATAAAGCCACGGTGGTCTAGCGGTTAGAACGCTGGCCTTGTAATCCTGGGGTCTCGGGTTCGATTCCTGGCGGTGCCCAAATTTATAACTTGTGTTGGGCAAGGCCGTAGTTTAGGCAACACGGAGTTCTTCCTTTGTGGCATCCCAACAATTACTCCATTCACACACAAGAAGGCAATGGCAAACCACTTCTGGATCATCTGCCAAGAACGTATATGAACAGGTCCCAGTCCGAGAAAAGGATGGAAGGATCCTGTTCATATGGACCTGTCGTCAGACAGAACACTAAATAAATAAATAATATAAAATAAATAACTGGATAAATGCGTGAATGGGGGACTGTGTGTGCTGATAGGTGACGTGTAATTTAAGGTAGAGTATTGTAGATGCGTCATATTGTGAATTAATAGTATTAAAATATTTAAATATTTAAAAATAACCGTCAATCACAATAA